CGTGTGGGTCTGGGTCTGGGTCTGGGTCTGGGTGTGGGTGTGGGTGTGGGTGTGGGTGCGGGTGTGGGTGTGGGTGTGGGTGTGGGTGGATGTGCGTTTAGGTGTGGGCGGTTGTGAATGTGAATGAGTAGAGTACAAATACGCACAGCCACACCCACACATGAGAGTATTCTACCCGTAAGGTTGTGAAAAACTGCCAAATACGGACTGTTGACAATACGGGTAAAATACGATCCGAATTTCTGCGCCAGATAATACAGTTCAATACAGACCGGAAACGGAACGTATTGAAACCGTATGTTGCTGTAAATGCCTCGTTTTTACGAAATTTTCGGCTCGTAAACGGCACCGTTTTGATCGACCTGGTAACCCATCAAAGTTCGAAATTTAAAATTTTTTTTTTCTTTTTCTGTTCTTTTTACCAATTTAATAAAAAAGGGCACAAAAATTATTTCACAAATTTCATAAAACATTCGCACGTAAAATTTCTCAGCAGCTCAAGCACGTATATTTTCTTCAGATATGAGCCAAACATTTTTATATATGAAAAGTATTATAAAACATCCATGTCACATTTATATAAAGCTTTTTCGACTTTAATCCTTGTGGACTTGACAATAAGATGTAGATAAAAGTGACTTCATCTTCAAGAGAAAATGATGTTCTGTTCAAATAGCTAGTGAAGAACATTATAGACATCATTTTTCCCACCGAAATAATTGAAAAAGGAATAGATTGTGATATGATGGAATATGAACAATTTCATTTTTGCGTATTTTTCGGTTATTCTCATTAAAGTCAAGTTGTAAAAGTGAAGATGGATCCGAGGGAAACATCTTTTTTTTATTATCCGGTAGAACATGAAATGCTCTATCGATTGATATAATTTGGTTTTATTTTAGCAGTAGTCTCTTGGCTAGGAAATGCGAAATACTGAAGGACGTCGAAATCTGCTTTTGCATAGATCGAAATTATTTTAATTATAAAAAATCTATATAACAAGATAGAATGTCTTTCTTTAATAGATGATGTAGCTAAGCTCTCATACTATCTGTACAACCATTTGAATCAAATCTATACCTAATAATATGAAGAAAAAAATTTGAGAAAAAATACTGAAAAATCAATTTCACTTAAATTTTTGTCGTAGACTGTACTTACCTACTATTTACACAATCATTAATCCATTAAAAAAATGGTTGATGAAGGAGCAAAGAAATTATTCAAGCGTTTACCTCAAACGGTTGTACCAACACAGTATGATTTAACAATACAACCTTTTGATATCTTTAAATTTAATGGAAGTGTGATTATTCATTTAAAGGTTCATTTGTTTATAAAAAAAAATTAAAATTGATAAAAAAATAAAATGACTTTTTCTTTGCTTCAGGTCAATCAGTCGACCGATACTGTGGTACTATACGCTGCTGATTTACAAATTGATTATGCAACAATAGCATTGAAAGCGAAAGGTAAATTCATTTTTTTAGTCTCTTATTGTTGAGTTAAAATATATCGTTTATGTTTTGATAGATGAATTTCCAAGTAAAATCCGCACGGATCCAGAGAATGAACATGTAGAAATCAGCTTTGATAATAAACTTGAAGTATGGCAACATTGATTTGTTGTTTTCAGATGAACTCTATTTTCATTTTTTTTATTATTTTGAAATAAGCGGGTGACTATCAATTGTCCCTAAAGTTCACAGGTGATATCAGTGATCGTATGACTGGTTTCTATCGAAATAAATATACAACACCTGATGGCAAAGAAATTCGTTATGGTGCTTGTACACAATTTGAAGTAAAATATTTTTCGTTGCCTTTCGACTTTTTTTCTCTATTTTTAATTTACAGCCGGCTTATCGTCGACGAGCATTTCCTTGTTGGGATGAACCGAATTTTAAAGCAACGTTTGATATTACATTAATTACACCAAAACATGTGCAAGCTATATCAAATATGGTTCGTATATTTAATTGAAATTTTACAAAAATGATTTTGAAGAAGATTTCAGTCAATTTTTAGTGAATTAATAGGTTTATGTATTCTAAAGAGCAATTGTTTAATATGATTAAAAATATGAATGAGATGTTATCTTATTAATGAGAATTTTTTGTTTTGATATATATGTTTTAGTATCTAAACTGAAATGATGTCCTACTTCAGATTGGTCTATGCAAATTTCGAAGTCAGGCGCTAAGTTTTCAATAAAGTTTCTATTAGTCCCTAAGAAAGATATTTACAGGATCGAGTGAGACCTTTAGAAATGTCCTGGTCTGTCAATTTACAGTCAGTAGGGGACTTCCAAATATTAGATTATGTAAAAGAAAATTCCTATGATTTACTTCAAAGATGTCTTTCGAATTACTACAAAAATAACTCAAATTCAGTTATCAAACGATACCTAAAACGTTCGGATGTGTATGAACATCGAGTATTCTAATGGAAATGTAGATATCACTTGAAAGAAAAAACAATGAATATAGTAGATGTAATATATCACTAAATGTTGCTCAATTTTTTTGTTATCTGACTACGTCAAATGAACAAAATTCTGAATTCAAGATTTGCTACTGTTGATTAACTTCGTGTAGTCCCTATTTTTCTATTTCTGCCTAAAAATAACGCTATATAATCCTCCCTTTAGTTGAGAGAGAAAGGATATTACTTTAATTGAAGT